CCTTGACGCTCTTTCATTTTTTTTTGCTGCTGCTTCTGAAGGGTGTATGGGTTTCACAGCCCAGTCAGCCGGCATTTCCCCAAATGTGCTCTCATTGAAACCTGGCAAAATCCTTGGGGCATGAGCACAGGCTGAGGTCCCAGCCCTGCCTCGGGTGCTGCTGTGCAGATGGCAGGGAGAGGCTGTGGGGTGTTGCTGCCCCACTTCCCTGCCTGTAGCTCAGGTCGGTGTCTGGATCTACTGAAGAAGGAGCAGCAGGAAGAGCTGTGTGGGCTCGGCTATCCCGGGAAACACCAGCCTGATGGAAAGCCCTGGCCAGGTATCCCTGTGTCCCCAGGAGCTCAGTCATGTGGCCTGTGTGAATGTGGTGGCCTCCCACTCCCCTGGGAGGAGTGCTCCAGGAGGAACCAGAAAGAGCTGGACCCAGCTGCTGCTTGCACCACACTAGAACGCACCTATAGTGGCCGGAAGGACAGCAGGTACCCTGGGGCTCAGAAATGCCCAGAATGGTTGTCCACTCACGGCTGCAAGGCCATGTGACGGGGGCCCATGGTCCCATGTTGGGAGGATGCCAGGGAAGAGGAGGAGACAAGGTCAGTGGTGCTGCGCCTGGGCTCTGCGGACTCACGGAGCGGCCACACCTCCTTCTGAGCCACCTCTCTGGCTGTAGTTCCAAGCTTGGCCAGCAACTGTTCTGTACATAGTCTGGCCCTGTCCCTTGTGCTCCCTGGGACTGGCCACCCTGCCCAGGGTGTCTGGGAGCACCAACAACTGAGCCAGGCCACTGCTCAGTGGGCAAGCACCGTGCCCTGGATCAAAGGACAACAAGCTCACATGAATAGCTCTGCTTCGAGCCTGGCAGCCCTCTCTCCAAAGACCCACTCTGTCACTGCCAGCTCCTTTCACATGTGGTGCGGAAGGACCCAGAGAAGGCTGCCAGGTGCTGTCTGTTTGGCTTGGCAGTGTCTGGGTCACCTCCACCACCAGGGCGCTCCTGGGCCCCCAGCCTTGCACTGCCCACATCACTAGCCTTGGGACCTGTGCTAGCTGGCGCTATCACCTGTCCCCACGTGGCCACCAGCTGCGAAGGCCAGAGCAACTAGGCCAGGGTCAAGGTGGTCACAGCACTTTTTAGGGCACTATGCCAGAGCACTGGGCAGGGGATCTGGGGAGCAGGGGCTCTGGAGAAGGAACTGATGCCTTAACCTGGATTCCCAGGAAGGGAACTACAGTGGCATCCACATGCTGGGACCTGGAGAAGTGTCAGACCCAGGAGACCCAGAGAGGCAAAGTGCGGGCCCCATAAACAGACATCAGAGTGAACCAGACCTGGGTCTGCAGAACAACTTACCAAGTGGCAAAAGGGCGCACAGCCAGAGGCAGGTGTTGCCACCTTTGTCACAGAGAAAAGCAAAGAAAGTGTCCGAAGGGTGGGGGATTTTTAGCTGCCACCTACAAAAAGTGACTGACTGGAGGGGGAAACGGGTGTGGAAGATGAGCGGAGAACAGAGGCGCTGGGCAGGCGTATAGGGAGAACAGCACGAGGAGGCACCTGCTGGCTGCTCTCACCATGCCGCAGGAGCAGAGACACACAAGGGCCTTCTCTGGCGGAGCTTGAACAATGCCCGGCGCTGGGGTCCTCCGCCCAGGCTGGCAAGGCTTGACTAGTGGCAAGGGCCACATCAGAGGGGCCAGGAGCCAATGGCTTGAGAGACCTTCATGGGATGTTGCTCTGCGCCCTGTGGCTGCCTCTGTCACAGCCACCTATGGTGGGCAGAGCCACCCCTTGCAGGAGCGGTGGAGGAGGTGGGTCTCGGAGTCACATGCTTGTGCCTGTCATGCCTCTCAGAGGGGAGCCGGGAGTGCAGCCTGGAGCCCAGGAGCGAGAAGGTCAACCAGCTGTGAGGAAGAGCTGGAGGACTGAGCCCTGGGGTGCTGGCCGCCTGGAGGAGGAGGGACACAGCAGAGCCTGTGAGGTGTGGGGCGGGGAAGAGTCAGGGTGAGCAGAAGCACTGTCCGAAGGAGACGATCAGCAAGGTCTAGCCATGTGGGGGTGCTGAGGGGCCAGAGTTGATAACTGGCTTTGGGTTTCCCAGTGTCCATCTTCTGGAGACCCTGACAAAGACCAGTTCTAGTGTGCAGCTGAGAGATGGGAACTTACTGGGGATGGGGTTAAGATTAAGGTTAGGTTTAGGGTTAGGGTTAGGGTTAGGGTTAGAGTGGACATGGGGACACAGCACTCTATGGGATGCTTGTGTGAGGCAAACTGGCACAATGCCAGGACAGAGGATGCACTATTTGGGCAGATTTCACTGTTATATTTTATTTTTCATCAGGGGTGTTATTATGCTGGCGTGGTGTTGTAGACCGTGAATTTTTTCAGGACTCGGGATTGAACCCCTTTCCACTGAGCTATAACCCAGCTTTTAAAAAAAATTTTGAGATAAGGTCTCACTAAGTTTCCAGGTTGCCCAGACTGCCCTCGAAATTGTGATCCTCCTGCCTTAGCCTCTTAGAGTACTGGGATTACAGGTGTGCACTATCATGGCTGAGTTGCAGTGAGAGCTTTACAGCATGGAAGGGAGGGAAGTCAGAAGAGGTGTCCTCTGATCCCCTCCCTAGTGAGCAGTGCTGGATTCCACCTCTCTGGGGCTAGGTGGCCGGGCAGCCTGGGCTCCACACAGGGGACAACAAGGACAGTGGCGGCCTTGGATGAACAGTCTGGTAGATACGAGGTAGAGCTTGTGTGGACCCCTCTGCCTGCTATTCATTCTGTGACACAGGAAGCTGGACGACAGCTGGGAGTGAGGTAGAGATGCTGCCAGGTGGGGAAGGATTGACCCCCGCTTGCAATGAGTCCAAGCCTCCCTGCTTGTGCATCGGCCATCAGCACTTCTTTCCTATACACCACCCCTTCCTTCCCCAGAAGGAGCAGGAGGGCTGGGGCTTGTGCATGTGGCTGCCTCATCTGTCTTGTTCCCAGGTCGAGCAGTGACCCTACTACCCCGAGGTGCTGCAGAGCCCCAATCCTGGGAGTTGAGAGCAGCTCCCACCCCAGTGACAGCACCAGATGTGGACAGGGCTGCCCAGCAGCTGCCATTTGCCCTTGGTCCAGCCTGAGGACAATAGTTCTGTCATCCAGTGCCCACTGTGCCCTCCCACGACTCGGGGCTGCAGCAGGTGCCAGGGTGCTAGGCACAGGCTCCTCTGGGAGCTCCAGGTCCCCAGAATGCTGGTGTCTGGCCGTATGAACAGGGCCCTGGCAGAGGAGGAGCAGCTCAAGGAATGGTGGAGAGCAGAGAGATCAAAGGAGGAGAAGGGAGGAACTCTGCCAGGCCACACCCCCAGTGCCCCACTGCCTCCTCCAGGCTTCCCCTCCTAGCATCACCATTAACTGTAAACTCACCAGTCTACCAGTATCACACCCGATGATCCAGTCACTTCCCAAAGTCCCACCTAATAGCACATGAGGCTTTGGGGTGACATCTAAATACGAAGCATAGCAGAGGTCAAGCTGAGCCAGGGAGAGGGCCGGGGTCTCTGTCAGCTGCCCTGTAGGTGCCAGCCCTTTCCCATCTTCTCCCCAGTGCCTCTCACTCACTCTGTGGTTACTTGGGGCAGAAACCCTCATTTTAGGCTTAAGGGGAATTTATCTGGAGCCCATGGCAGCCAGGGCATGGGGTCGGGACCTCTCGAGGACCATGCCTCCCAGCCCTGGCCTGGGGCTCCCTGATCTCACAATCCCACTTCACTTCTGAAATGTGGTTTTCTGCTGTTTTCCACTGCCAGCCATCCTCAGCATGGGAAGAGGGACAGGAGCAGACCTGATGCTGTCTGGTTCATGACTCTGTGCTCCTAGCACAGAACCAAACCAGGCTATACTTCCTGTCAACCAAGACCTGTCCCTGTGGGCTGGCTCAGCCCAGCAGCCTGTGCATGGTTTGTTCCTGGCAGGAGAGAGCTGGGGGCCAGAGCCCACCCCACCCTACCCTCTGAGCCCTTATCTGTAGGCTTGTGTAGGTTTGTGAGAACCCCGGTGTCTCACACAATGAAGACACTCCCAACCCTGGCTCCTGCGCTAGCCCCAAGAGAGAACCAATTCCTCTCAAGTTCCAGCTCCAGGACCCATTTTAGGGACCTTGGATCTCGTGATGCCTGACACCCTACACTTTGTTAAAATGCTCCTTCTTGCCTCAGGTCCTGTGGGATCAAGGAGTTGAGTCCTGTCCAAAAAGGACCCCTCAGACCCAAGCAGGGCCTGGCATCTCGCCACTGCTGCTAAGTAAGGGTGGGGTGTGGAGGGTAGCGGCTGTGGTATGGCCCTTCTGGAAGTCACTCTGAAGGGGAAGCTGGCCACACAGGCCCTGAGCCATTCTGAACAGGGCTTCTTTAAAAATGGGGGCTGTTGTCCAACTAACTCCACAGTGCTCCTCTGGCTGGATCTAGTCCTACTTCTTCCCAGCTTCTTGGGGCTCTAGAACTGATTCTCGTGGGCAGATGGCCTCAGGATGGCCCTGGTCACCCCAAGTGGTCCTGTTCCCTGGCACCAGTGGCCTGCAAAACCAGATCTGAGATAAGATCAGCCCAGCTGCAGCCAGACCCAGTCTGGCCACTAGTTCCTCCAGTGTAATCCCAGAGCCAGATGTGCACCCAGAGATGGCCTTAGGGTACTGATCCCTATTCTTCCCAGATGGCCCTACTGAATTAATCACTGCTGCACCCGTCCCTCTGACTGGCCCTTGAGGGGTGGTTGGTGGAATCCTACCTGCTGGGATCTTACAGTCAGACTCTGGCCCAGGGCTCAGTTGTAATTCCAGCAAGCCCAGGGTACTCCAAGGAAGAGGCACCCTGTGAAGGTGCAGTGTCTCAGCTTCGACTGGGTCTGGGACAAAGATGGCCAGTGTTCTGTCAACCACTGTGGTAGGATTATAATATCCTAGGCCTTGGCTTGGAGGGGGAAACCAAGTGTGGAAAACTGCAACACTTATTTCAGACCCGAGATGGTTCCATCTGAATATTTTTATTAGGAAAATGTTAAGTGCACATACAACTTTCAAACTGATATGACTTTAAAGTAAATTGCTGCTTCTCAAAGACTTGTTACTTATTTTAAAAAAAAAAAAAAAAAAAGCACACATTTTGCACAGGGACGCCTTCTCCTGGGCCAGCTTCACATTATCGGGAGATGCGATGGACAACACAAATACAGTATTCGTCACATTGAACATGGAACCCATCCCTGCTCAGCCACAGAGAGCTCAGCGAGGCTGCGGACTGCGACCTGGCAACACCACAGTCGGCCTGGGGGATCTGGAGGTTTCTGGGAGCCTTTCTGGGGTGGGCTTCCTTCAGAATGGTCAGGGAAATTACATAGAGGAATTGGGGGCCCACCCTCTAGGAAAGGTGCTCAGTTCCCAGGTTGGAAGCCCCTAATGGGTGAAAAACCAGAGACAAAATTGCACCATGGAGGTGAACATAGGGTTCTTGGGACGGGGCTCAGGTCTCTGAACTCCTGACACACAGACAAACTCTGCTCTTCAAAGCTGAGCCTTCTTCCTCTCCCAGGATGCATATACCCTCACTGGTGTCTCAGTGGCTGGCAGACGAAGATAGACAGTGGTGTAAAGGACAAAAGGCACAGATTTGGACGCCCACACACAACACACCCCCAGCCCCCTCCCATCTGGTGCAAAGGCTGGCAGCTGAGGAGCACAGGTCACAGAGCCAAGGGAATGCAGGGACAGCCAGTGTCCCCCGTCACAGCTCCCTAGTGCTGTGCACTTGACTCTAAAGCAAAGGGATTAGAATGGGGAGACTTTTGCTTTGCAAATGGACTATTCACATGCTGATTGGCTACAGCCAGTCAGTCTCCATGCAGAAGCAGATCCTCAGGGGGAGATGAATTGTCACACAAATGGTGCCTCTGCCATCTCCGCTCTGATCTGCTGTCCCCTGGGGAGGAGACACAGAGGTTATTGCTTCACTGCAGCTGGATCTGGACTCACACTAGTTCCTGGGAGCAAGAGGTTTGACTGGATGATCTTGGGTCATGGATTCCAAGAAAAGAAAATACCTCAGGTTACCTGAACAGCAGCCGTCCACCAAAATTTGGTCATTTCATGGATAGCTCAGAATCACTGTAGTGATGGGTCAATTTCAAAAGATGGTTTTGAAATTAGTTCTCATCCTGGGAACTAATAAACCTCCCCCAAACTCCTTCCTTTTTCAATTTAACTCGGCTGGTTTGAGAATTTTAATTCTTGTTTAAATTAGGGGCAACTTTTGGTGGGTGGATTTGCCTTCTGCTCTTTAGTGTCAATTTATGGAAATGCCTGGTGCATATTACTGGTAATAAATGATGAAATTGCAAACACTTACAGCTGAGGAGTTGCTCTTCCTTTCTGCACCTTCTCCATTCAAAGAACTTTACTGGTGTCTCCCATTAGGACTGGGGACACCGAATGCAGGGAAAGCAGACAGGGAGCGTCGCATGCCCATTTTGAGCAGCGTTGCATGCAGACTGCTCTCAGGCAGAGGGCAACACTCTGGGTCCCGGGACTTCTGCTCCTTTCCTGACGGAATACCTGCCCTGCCGGGGATGGGGGACCATGCGTGTAAGAGAAAAGGACAACCTTGCAAGGGGGTGAGGTCAAATATTAATTGAGGAGGAGTCTTCACTCTGGGACTGACTCTGCTGCAGGTTGTATCCTGAAAATAATAAAAGAAGGTGGAGAATTCTTGTTACTCCCCAAACAATGCTGAACCAGAACTCTGCAGTCCAGACAACAGCAGCAGTGAAGTTTGGCAGGGCTGGGGTCAGTGCTCCTGTGGCCCATATTCCCTCAGGCTCTGTCTGCTGGTCCCATGGGGAAACTGAGGCTGCTCTCATTGGCCACAGTCTGCACTAGGAACTGGGTAGAGGCCCTCAGACATCTCCCCATGCTCAGCCTCTGCATACCAGCGAGGGGCAGTCATGCACAAAGACAGGGGTCATGGGGGGCGGGGGGACACTGGCTGTGAGTGGGGACACAGAGGCAGACGGACAGTGTTCCGCATGAGACAGAGGCGCATACAGTGTTTCTTGGGCACTTTGCTTCCCTCTCGGTGCCCAGTGGGAATGAAAGCTTTTGTCTGGAGAGCGTCCTTTTCAGGGTGACGGAGACAATCTGGAGACACAGGACGGACGATGGATGGATGGATGCATGAGACACAGAATGAGGAGCACAGCGATGGTGGAGGGAGCAGCAGGAGGGTTGGTCTCTGCCCCGGCCTGGCTTGCTCAGCCTGGGGAGCCCTGCTGTTCACTATCTGGGGGAGGAGGCAGGCCCATCTGCTGGGACAGGGGGTGAACCTCCCATCTCAACTAGAATACAAAACTCACAGGGGGGCTCCACGGGAGAGATATTATAATAAAGCAAATAACATAATGGCCTTAGCTCAAGAGCCTATCTGCCACAATAACACTGGATTATCAAACTAAATGAGAAATAAACACCATGAGTTCTGCTACAGAATCAATGGCGAGGGAAGGGGAGCTGTGCAAACGAAGCCCTTAGCCCCATGTCCGGCCCTGCCCAGGAGCGGGATGCCGGCCCCTCCCTAACACTGACTGCAGGCCTGGGCTCCTGTGAGGTTCGCAGGCGTCTCACCCACCTCTCACATCTTGAACCTCCTGTTAACAGAACAGAGGAGACACCGTTAAGGGGGGTCCCAAGGCCTGGGGCACGCAGAAGCCAAGGCTCAGCATCACCTGCAGACCAGGCACGAGTCTTCCTGTGGGACACAGCAGGCAGGAGGCAAGGGAGGACAAGCAGGCCAAAGCAGGGGAGAGAGGACTGGAAGTGGCAGGACAGCGGACGGATGACCAGCAGCACAAGGCACGGCACACGGAACACAGGACAAGGCCTCACACTGAGACCACAAGTCCATCCCAGCTAGGACGGGTGGTGGGCACTGCAGGCTCCATGGTCTTGAGAAGAGGCACCTCCGATGTCCATCAGCCCCACATCCATCCTTGGGATCTCTTGGCCGGCGCCATGCCACTCTGGTGGCCTCCAGCAGCAAGAGGTAGCCCCTGGGATCTCCCAGGAGGCGTCAGCGCAGGTGGCACATAGTGGCCCATGCCCCTCACCTGGCTGTGACTGGACTTCTAGTTTCCCCCCAGAGGGTCCAGGCAGGGTCTTCTGCTCTTCAGAGGTGAGGAGTTTCAGCCACCGGGTATGGCCCTTGGGGCTTCATGAGCCTCTCCTGAGATGGACAGCCCACTCGAACCCGCTTGTTCCTGCCTGCAGCAGCTCCCCAGGTGGGGTGGCACTGGATGGCTTAGTTTGAGCGAGGCTACACTGAGGGGTTCTGAGAGGGGAATCTGGCGAGTGGCTAGAAGACACCCAGGGGTGGGGAAAGGGCCAGGTGTAAATCTATTGACCCAGAGGCCAAGAGTGACACTGCTGGGAAGGTTGACCAGGCAGCAGGGGTGGTGGTCACACAGGGGCCTCACTGTGCCAGCATCCTAGCTGGAGGTGGATAGCTGTGTTCTGGGACCTCTAGGTAGCCCATCCAGGCATAGGGATCCAGCACGCAGGGGCCCCCGAGGGTCCCACACAGGGATGTGCCATCCCCCAGTTGCACCCTCCAGCCTCATTGGTTAAGGGAAGCAACACTCTTAGGGTCAGAGGTAGGGCGCTGGTGGAAGGGGACAAGGGTCCAAGAGGGGAGGCATTTGTTTTCATGACTTCCGCCTTGTCTCCTCCCACAGGCCCATCCTCCTGTCTAATCTCTAAAGAGATTTGGCCAAAGTCTCAAACATCAAGGGGGTGGGGAGGAAAGTTCTAGAACGAAAGCAGACTCAGTGCAGGCAGATGTTTCCCTCCAGTGGGGACTGACTGTGCTGGAGCGCTTCCCAGCACGGGGGTGGGGATGCGCCACAGCTGCAGGCTCTGCACACGGCTCTGCGCATATCTGTCCCCAGCGTGGAGGACCCATTCCACAACTCTGGAGTGAGCGCCTTAAGAGAAGGCTCCCTGGGAAACATCTACATCTATATCTGCTCCCATGCACCCAATACCACTGCATAACCCCCAGACTTGCAGGCAATGTCTCTGTCCAGCCCAGCAGGCAGCAGGGGCCCAGGGAGGCAGGGTGGGGAGGGCCAGGCCACAGGGGCAAGTGGGCCATGGCCTGTCCTGAGAAGGCCGCAGGAACAGCGGGGCTGGGGTGACAGGTGGCAGCATGGGGTGCCTCTCTGGGCTAGCAGGCTGTGGATGCTGCTGGCCAGGCAGCACCTCAGGTCCCCGTGGGAACGGGGAACCCAACGCACAGAGCTGGGAGCCTGGGCTGGACCTGCTGTGCTAGGGGGATCCCAAGCACACAGTCTCTGAACAACTATTGTCTTCATAACTTAGCAGGCCAGCAGGGCTTAAGGAGCAGAGAAATGGTGGCCGAGTATGGCCTGGCACGCAGGTCACCAGGCCAGGGGCAGCGGGTTTATAAAGCGCCGAGAGCGAGCGGGGAGCACTGTGGTCCATCCAGCTGGCAGATAACTAGTTTTTCCTTTTCTGGGCAGCCTTTCTCTTCTTCTGTCGCTTCTTTTTTCCTATCTTTTCTTTTTTCCCCATTTTGTCTTCTCTGCGCCCCCTTAGATAAAATTACAACCATTAATCATGTTGAAACACAGGAGCTTTCTCAGTCTGCAAATACTAAGGGGGGCCTTGGGTCGCTCCATCCTCAGCCTTGGCACAGGCCCTTCTCCACACAAGCAAGTGCTGGATGCCATGTGGGGCCAGGAGGCCCATTCACCAAGCCCACCCTGGTTCCTGCTACCCTGAGACTCTCTGGAGATGGGAACCCACATTGGGGTGGTCTGGTCTCTACCCACCCGCCTGATCTCACCGGAGTCTCCTCCTTTCTCCATCCAGAGCTGAGCCTTTTCTGCTTTCTCTAAAAGTTCTCTGTATTTCCAATCTGGTAACCCTTTTGTAGGTGGAGGCCTGAGGCTCACGCACCATCCTGGTTCCTGACCCCACTGTGCCCTCTCTGGGTACCACCAAGGTTATCTGGAGCGAGGGATAGTGCTGGTTAGCAGAGTTCCATTAGAGCAACTGGCTCGTGACTGTCGCATTAGGGTGATTTGAGGCAAATGGTATTTAATGATTTATGGGGTGAGGCCACCTGTTCCGGGGAAAGCCCAATATTAACCATGGCTGAGAGTCACGGGAGTTTTACGTGGGAAAATGGGAAGCTTGATATTACTGGGGTTGAGTCTCGGGATTACATGAGGATGTTAGGAGGACCAAGGAGGAGGAGGGAGGAAGACGGATTAGTGGGTCAAATATTTGTCAGAAAACTGGCACTGTAGTTCCACTTGATTTAAAAAAAAAAAAAGACTCCAAAACTTGAGTTGCAGATTCAGTCTGCGAGTGAGAACAGCCTGTGAGCTGTTGCTCAGCATGGACCTGGTTGCAGGGTCCAGGCACCTGACCAGCAGGTGGCTTAACTCACAGTCTCCAGAAAGGTCTGCACGTTCGTCTCTATGCACTGATAAATAAATAAATCCCCACGTACAGTAGGAGGTTTACACCAGGAAAACCGTTAGCATTTTATTGCTAGTGCATACCATGACACATGATACAACTTTAACACAAGTGAAAAAATACTGCGATAACATTGAGAAGCTGCGCTTGATCACATTTATGTATCATATATATTTCTGTACCCACTGCCAGTAGCTTCAGAGTCTAAGGAAAGAGTGCTACTGGCATTCATATGGCTCCACTTCAAATATATGAATTGTTCCACTACAAATATATTCTGAAGTACACTTGTTTTCTAAAGGAACAAAACGCAAAAGAAAATGTGCACAAAAATATATATAAAAAAATGCCTTGCCGAAAGTTACATATTCCACCAGGGCTATCTGTGAATTGTATTTGTGCACGGAGGTTCCATCTACCCATATTTCTGATTTGAACCTGAGAGCCCTTGTGGCTCCGGAGGGGCTGAGGCAAGATGCTGTCTGCTGTGCATCCTGCACTTCTGATTTCAGAAGGCCCGGTCTGCAGAGCCCCATGCATGCTGGGGCTTCAGAGCAAGCCGGAGACCTGATTCCTCAGCAAGCTCTCTGGCTGGAAGCTGCATTTATTAAAATTCTGCAGATTCTCAAGGGAAAGTCGGGTACAATCGCACCTCCTCCAGGAGGGGCTGGCTCCGTTCTGGAGGGGGTTGGAGGGGATCTCACAGAGGGCCCGGTGGGGAGGCAGGAGGAGAGGGAGGGTGGCTCGGGCAGGCTAGAGGAAAGGCAGAAGCAGGAAGCATGCTGCTGGAGCAGGGAGTCCTCCAGCACAGCCCAGGGGCAGCGGCTTCAGACAGAGCCCAGACTCATCACTGAGATTCCCAACTAGGAGAGGGCTGAGAGCAGTGGTGGCCCAGCCCTGCGGGTCACGGCCACACAGAAGCCACTTGGAGGGACACCCTGCAGGAGCTGCCCCTAAGGACACTTTTGGAGTTCCCTGCGAAGAAGCCGCTTTCCCCTGCCTGTGCATGGAGGCTCCAGGGAGGCCACGAGCCGAGTACAGATCTTGAAGTTATCATTGGTTTAAGATATGATCATGAGGATGAAGGTGATGACCATGAGGGGCTGCCTGGCTTAGAAAACCCCAGGCACGAAAGCTCCTAGGTACGAGGGTTGGGCACGGTGAACGCAGGCTGAATACGGTGCCGTGGCTATGTGTGCGGTGTCTACAGCTGGCAAACCCAGGGGCCGCGCAGGCCTCCTCCCAGCTCCGCCCTCCATCCCTGGAGTCAGCCTTCCTGGCGGGGCCAGTGGACAGTCCGCCTGGGCAGCTGTGCGCTTACTTGTTTAAAGCCTTCTCCAGGTACTCCTGGATCCACTTCAGCTTTGGGTCGATGCACACCTGCCTGTTGTTGCTCTTCAGCCTGGCGCTGTGGAGACAGAGAGAAGGTCTGGGTTTCAGAGGTACTCAGGGTAAGCTGGGGAGAGGAAAGCCTGGGGTGTGGCGTGCTCCAGTCTAGACAAGGACAAGGTGCAGAAACTCCAGCTAGGATGAACACAGCCCAGGAGCAGGCCTTTGCAGGATCAGCAGGAGTTGGCACATGAATAAAGCAGAAGGGAAGGCCAACAGCGAACACGCCAGCTGTCAGGGCACACAGAAGATGTGGGGGCAAAGGATGGGGGCTTCGGCTGGGGGGCCTCGGAGACTGAGCTCAGGCCTTCTCTTGATGGGGCACCTTGACACACGTGGGGCAGGCTGGAGAGAGACTCTGGATGGAACTGCTGAGCTCTGAGCAGGGGACAGCTCTGGGCAGGGGACAGGAGGGGTGGGACAGCGCAGGGACAGCGCAGGTGGTAGAGGGGGAAATGGGGAAATAGTTTCCTGAGTGCTATGTAACCCTAAACAGCCAAGATACCCTGCCCAGCCTGGCATAGCTGTGTGGTCAGCTGAGCCCCAGCATCTCCCCCTTGCGCACAGCCATGAGAGTCCGCGGGTGACTGCTGCACTGGAACTATGTGCAGGTGCATGGAATGCAGGTCTAGGCACAGCTGTGTGTTTGATTTAGGCTTTGCCCGGCTCTAAGCTCTGTACTGGTCCCTCCCAACTTTAGGATGTACCCTAGTAAGTGAGCTGGCACATCTGTGCTGCACAGCAGGTCCCATTGGCTACGCACAGCTCCTTCCAAACGCCCTTCCCAAGAGACAGAGTATCTTACTTGACGCACCCACCAATCAGCCATCTTAGCCTCCAGGGCCTGAAGCAGGAGCATCTCAAGTTTGAGGCCAACCTGGACAAATCAGTGACTTAGTGAGACCCTGTCGCTAAATGAAAAATTAGAAAGGGACCGGGATATAGCTCAGTGCAAAGGCCCTGGCTTCAAACTCCAGTACCAGAAAAAAAAAATCCAACTTCTAAGGCCCCAAGACATATTGTAAATGACATTCAAAGTGCAAAGGGTAAAAAGAATGAGGACAAAACCAGATCTCAGATGGGCAAAAGGGTGGAAAAGTCCTGAGAAGGGGCAGTCTTCCTTCCAAGCCTGCATCCCCACCCCACTTTGAGCTCTAGGACTGTTGACAAAGGGGCCCTTCCAGGGTTCTGGGCCTCCCCTCCTGGGTCAGGCAGCACCCCAGGAGTGCCTTAGGGTTCAGGGTTCTCCCCCCTGCACCTCTACCAGCCTTGTGTGTCCAGGCAAGATCTCTGTCCCCTTGTGCTTGTGTGATGTGGGTTTGTATTGTTTTCCAAAGGAATAAAGTAAAACATTGGCAGCTGCCCTCAACACCAAGCAAAAGCAAAATCTCATTAAGCTGCACTTGAGAGAAAGTACACAGTCTAAGTGAGCTGCAAATTGTGAGGCTTCACCAAATGGCAAAAGATGACCTCAAGCAATTCATTCTGTGCTCTCTGGAAATGAAGAAGGAGTGGGACTGACCCCCAGAGCTGGCAGGAGAAATATGGCTGTGGCCAGCACAGGGCTGCATGCAGCCAGAGCCCTGGCAAAGGAAGCCCCCAGTATCTCTGGCCCCATGGCAGCCAGTTATGTGGGCAGAAGGGACCAGAACCACTGTGAACCCAGCAGAAGCCCAGCGCAACAGGCTTTCAATACTCAGTTCTGGGGGTACATTTTGTATCTTCATGGTAATGACAGCTGCCACCAGCTGTGCTGGGTTCCAGGCCGGGCCTCGGCCTCTGCCACTTGTCCACTGTACTCGGAAGGCACCACAGTGCTGGGCGCAGCACGGTACTCACACAATCTGAAGGGAGCAGTTGGGAGTGTTGAGGATTTTGAGGTGCTTGACGTTGGCTCTGGCCACATGGCTCTCAAAGAAGCGGCAGGGACATCTGTAGCTGAGGCTGACGGGCTTCCCTAGAAGAAATCGGGGAGTGTTACCCTGCCAGCCAGTGCTGGCAGTCCCGGCAAGGAGGAGGGACAGGGGATGAACGAATGTCATGGGTGTATCCTGCTGGGCCATCTCCAGGGGCAGCTCTGTGAGCTTGGACTGGGCACAAGGGGACCTAGGGGGGCACTGCACCCTCAAGGCAGAAGTTCAGATGGAAGCCCCCTTCACATTTGTCTGCAGATAAAGGCAGGAATGACAGGAGGGAAGCGTTTCAGTTCAAGGCCCTGAGATTCCCAGTTTTTCTTTGCTAAATAAACTCCAGCAGGGCCTCTGTGAGAGACCTCTGCAGTCAGGGAGGGAGGAAGAAGGAGGCAGGAGGAGGCAGGAGGTTCCCTCCCCTCCCCTTTGCCAGGAGCACCTAGCTCTGGGATGCCACCCTCCCCCACCCGAACCCCCAATCACCTCAACTTCACCCCAAACCTGGAAACCACAAAAGAACCCCAGGAGCTCCCACCAGGAGACCAGAGGAACAGGGGAACCTTTTTTCCAGCCTTCCCGAAGATGAACTCCAAAGTGGCTTGGGGTGCTGGGGGGATGGGGTGCTGTGGCCTCTGGATCCTATTACCATCTCTGCTTGCCAATTCGACAATTTGTAAAATGCCATAATTGACACTCATTAGTGTAAATTAGCAAGGGGCTCCCTCATCCCTTTAAGACTCACCCTTTAAGTCTAAAATTGCAAGCCCTGGAGGGCTGGGAGTTCTGGGGGTTTTGTCTTGTTTTTAAATTTTTTCCTTGCAGATTTTGTTCAAGCCCGCTTAATACCCCAAATTATTTGGTTTTGCAGCTCTTTTCACTGGGGCTAAACGAGAATATGGAGTCCGGTGACTTATTTTCAGTGTACCAGTTGCAGCCTTCTGGGAGGCTGGGCTTTCTAAGTCTGCACCTGGGATGGAGCTGGGGAGGGGTTGGAGGGCTGACTGCATTTTCTCTGCAGGCCATATTCAGTCCAAAAATGGTTTGGGCTGGGAACCGCGTCTATTTAGCCACAAAGTTATGGGAGAAGAATAACCCACCACTCAGACCAGAAGCAACCCAGGACTCCCTGTCGCCATGGGAGAACCTGGCATCAAGGGGCAGAAAACTACTTCAGGGTGCTTCCAGCAGCTGCACAGCCCCACAGTGGGGCCTCAGTGCTGCCGCTGGAAGAAATCACTGGGGGAAAGCAACCCAGAACAAGGACCCAGCAGCCCGGGCAACCCCGGAGCCAAAGTCTCCCCTTCAGTGCCTTGCCTCAGTTCTCTCCATTGCCCTTAGTCCTGGATGGGGGGGGGGCAGGAGAGCTATATATAAAGCCTGTGGCCAGGCAGGACTACCAGGAGGGACACAGGGACACTTGCTGCGCTGCATCAGCACCCTGGGTGGCTGGGGCTGTTTTCTCCTAGTCCCCAGGAATCCAGTCCCTCTAACCAGCAATGGAGATCAGGCCAGAAATCAGAGCCTTTCTGAGCTCAAAACACAGGCTTTCTTTCTCTCTTCCCCCTGCCCCCTGGGATTATCCATTTCCTTCAAAGGCAATTCTTATTCCTGCTCCCAGGACCCCAGCCTGAAGCAAGCAGGGTTTCCACAGGTCTTTAAAGGGACAGAGCCCCAGGTGTTCCATGAAGGGAGTCCAGTGCTGTGTGCACTTACTCCTTTCCTCCGCTTTTTGTCCACTCTGCTAACTTCTCCCAAAGTTTCAGAGCACAAACAGGAGTTTCTCGGGCTCTGGTGTTGCCCGGGATTTGGGACCCAGTGAGCTTGGCTCCCAGAGCAATTTCCACAGAGCAGCTTGCTCTGCTAAGGACGGGAGTCCTGACTCCACGCAAGTGGGAGCGGGCCCCCTCGGCTTTGCAGGACAGCCAGGGCACCCAGATCCAGCTGCTGGACACAGGAAGACCGCAGGGCCCTGGAGAGACTTCTAGAGCAGCTTGGGGGCTGGGTGGTGCAGAGAACACTAGTGCAGGAGGTCAAGAAAAAGGAAATTTGTCCCAGCCCGGTGTAGAGCAAAGGACCTGCCTGGGCTGCTGAGGGGGTGGCTCCAGGGGCAGCCCAGCCTCTGCCAGGGACCAGATCCCTTGCCCCACTTCCTCTGTGCCTCCCCCAGGGTGGCTGAACCCTAGGTCTCAGCACTGCTGTCTCCTCGAAGTACCCAGGGGGAAGGCAGCACAGGTTCTGCAGAGGTGCACAAGGACACTGCACCTTCCCCAGGTCACTCAATCATTAACCTCCAGCTGGAGTCCCATTCTGGGGGCCGGGTCAGTGCAGAGGAGCCTCTTGCAGTCTCAGTGCCAGAAGGACTCTGGGGTGTCTGCCACAGCCTTGGCTGGCAACTCCTGTGCTGCTAGAGAGCACTTCCCAGGCAGGCAGCCCGGGGTGGCAAAGCCTCTCCTGCTGGGCTCCGCGGAGGGCACTGATCCACACCCACACAGGTGTGGGGTCCTCAGGAGGAAACCCAGCTTAGGCCCCTTGACTCGATCCTGGGGGACAACAGCTGCAGGGTAGCACTTGGTATCCCTCGGCCACTGCAGGAAACTTCGCAGCCAAGGAAAAGCACGGCCGGCCCCACAGTGTTTTGTTTTGTGGGTCCAGAGGCAACAGTTTATTTTGGTTTGCAGCAGTGGTGTCCTGTAACAGCACAGCGAGTTTTCTCGCAGGCGTCAAAAAGGAAAAAAGAAAGCGGAGCCCTTTCCCAGTGAAAGAAGACACCACAGTTCCCAGTGGCCCAAGGCCTTGGCGATTGAACTCCACTTCTACTCAGTCCTGGGCACAAAGGCGCCGGCCTGCAGGTGTGTTTGGGGGCAGAGTAGGGGCGCGTAGTGTCCGCGGCCTCTGGGCCTGGCTCTGGAGACACAAGAAGAGGGAAGCTGGCGGTGAATAGGCGCTGCAGGTCCGCGTCGTTTCGCGCCACCGAGCCGTGCAGAAGCGCAGCGGGCAGCGGTGCAAGTGGGACAGCTGCTGCGCGCCCGCCAGCCGCCCCGGCCCGCGGAGGAGAGGACCGCTCAACTTGTAGACTCGCGCACCTCACTTCACCAACTCCTGGCCACCGCCAGCACCATATGGGCTGGACCAGGCGCAAAGCGCGCGCTCTGCACGCCGGGTGTGAGCCTCCCGTGAGCAGGAGGCCTCCGGAGCCCTAGCTGCGGAGACTGAGCAGCACCAGCGGGGAGGCCCCAGCCTGCGGCTCCTAGATAGCTCTGCTCCAGACCAGCGTCCTGCCCAGCTTCCTCGCACCCCTTGGTCCGCGGCCGCTCCGTGCGGGACGCAGAGCCTGGAGAGCGGCTGCCAAGTGCCTACCGAGGTCTTGGGGCTGGGACGCACGGGCAGCAGAACACTCACCGTCTCCGAGGCAGAGCGCAGCCAGCACGAGGGCCAGCACGGCGAAGACCTTGGCGTCCATGGCGCGGGCGGCTGGGGACCGGCGGTCGGACGAACAGATGGACAGATGGACGCACGATCGGATGGAGAGACGGAGGCGAGCGCAGAGAAGAGCGAGGCGACCAAGGCGCGCGGGGCGATTTAGCGGAGGCCACGGGGCGGGCCGGGGGCGGGGCGGGGCGGACCCCGCGGCCCCGGGCTCTGACGTCCCCGCCCCCGTCCCGCCCTCCCTGGAGCGTGGGGGAGGCCGAGGATCCCACCGGTTCCCGCGCCCACGGTTCGTTCGTGTCGGGGGACGGGGCCGCCAGCAGGCTGCGAAACGTGGCCTCTGGACGGTGGGGACTGAGTGAGGACCCAGCACAGACGAGCTGTCGGCCCGGGTGCGTCCCGTGGGGGCAACGAGTGCCCTGCAGTGCACGGGGCCAGGGTGCCCGCTGGCTCAGCCCAGGGGCTCATTGGCCTCCGGGACACAGCGACCCTGGCCTCAGCCAAGGCGCCACTAAGGAGCCTCAGTGTCCCCTCTCCAGCCGGGCATGCGCCGCTGCTGCAAGGTACCGGCATGGTCACTCCCCTGGAACCTCAGCCTTTATGCCTCCATACCCGGTACCCCTCGTACCTGCGGCTGACAGCCCGCACCCGCAGAGGGGCTGGGGCCCCAACTTCTCATCGTCCTGCCCTGCACACGGTCAGTCCTGCATGGAGGCTGAACATGGTCTCTCAAACCTCAGGACCTGCTGATCTCCTCCGGGTCACCCATCGCGGCTCAAAGCCACCAAGACACAAGGCTGTACCTCCTCTAACCAGCGTCCCCGAGGTTCCCGCCCGGAGGACCCCGCCTGGCCTGGCGGAAGGGTGCCCCTGACCAAGGTCCCGCGGTTCTCTATGGGCACAAAGGGACAGCGCTGCCCTCGAAGTCCCAGAGTCCCGGTCTACGCCCTCGGCGGCCAGGGGAGACTCGCGCTTTACCTGGGGACCAGCGATGGGGTCGCAGAGGCTCCAGTCCAGTCCAGGCGCTGGTGGCGGGAACAGTGTCTTCCACAAGTCTCCCCAAACCACCATAGGCCCCAGGCAGATGCGCCGTGGGCCTGCTAGCAAGGATTCATCCATCCATTCATTCATTCATTCATTCACTCACTCACCCAAGCCACGCCCACTCGGAGCGCAGGGCCTGAGACTAAGTCCCACCGACTCTGTTCCCGGCTGTAAAAAATCAACACCCCGTGGAGGGCCGGGCTCGGGCGCCCTCTGGCGGCCGTGTCTCCCGCCTGCTCGAGATGTGGAGCCCTGGCTAGACTCCACCTGGCCCACACTGCACTTGGGGACTCGCCAGACTCCCCAGGCCTGGGCTCGCTGCAGTCTCAAAAGTCTGACAGTAAGTGCCAGAGCCTCTTGATGCCTTGTTTTGTCCACCAAATCTGGTGGGCAGGGCCTCCTGCAGCCCAGGAGACCCCAGGATAGAAGTGTGGGGTCAGGGTGCCCGCTGTCCCCCAGCTGCTCATTATAACACTTGCGTGAGCAACTACGTGCTCACTGTGTGCCACACATGGGCTCACTGTGAGAAAGGTGAGAAAAGGAAACCAAACCCCACTCTCCCGGAGTCTGTATCCTGGGATAACAGGTAGGATAGAGCCACAAGGCATCACTGGGTGCGGGTGGGGGGACGAGGCAGATGGAAAGGAAGGTGAGGGTTTGGAGAGGTGGCCAGGGACCTGTGCTTTAGATGCAAAACCTCCGCAGTGTTAGCGGGCAACCTACAGGTACAACCCTGTGCATGCTGGGGGCCTGTTGGAACCGCAGGTGGATCAGGCATCTGCCCTCTTCACCTGCTCTGTGCTTGCCCAGGGAGCCCCCTAAACTTGGGGCAGCAGAAGCCAGCTCTCTCTCCCCATCTCTTGCTGATGTGCCATCTCCACTTGATTCCACCTCGATTTCCCCTCAGCGAGTCCCAGCTCCCCACTTCACTGGGGGTGTCCAGCAGCACAGAGAATCTGGAGCACCAGTTTTGCAGAGTTCTGTGGGAGACAAGGGGTGCAGTTGGGAGCTGGCGGCAGGTGCGACCCGAGTGCTCACACTCTCCCTCAGGGTTACAGTGGGCTTGCACGAACGCAAGGGCCTGGGATGGCCACTACATCTGAGTTGAGGAGAGTGTAGCCAGCAAGATGACTTTACCTGAGATTCTTCCTTTCAAGTGTTATCTTTTAAAATATAGATTTATATCTTTATAAAATAATAAGAAAAAAGCATGATGGGAACCTTCCAGTGTGGCATTCCAGGTGTGGTTTGGGATTCAGTTCATCTTTTTCCGCATGTGATTCAAGTTTTAAAGAGTGACTCAGTTTGCACTAGCATCCATGCACTAGTCTAGGCCTTGATAATGTAGCGAGAATCCTGACAATGACATAGAAAGCCAGAGGTGCTAAATCCAGTGCAGCTCTTGAAATTCCCTGGGGGAAGATGGTGGCGGATAAAGAAATGAAGACAAGAGTCAGAATGCAGAAAGCTGAGGTCAGGTGGAGCCCTTTCTCCCGATGGGAGAAAAGGAACTGCTCAACGACTGCAGTGCGTTTGTTTATACAATCAGCAAGAGGTTGATAACAGGTGAAACTTTTCTCCCAATGGGAGAAAGGACCTGCCTACAACTTGTTTGTCTGGCTCACCTCGGGTACTCGGTGTTCTTGTGCTGGCCTTGCTTTAGCCCTACATGTGTGATCAATCTCCAGCTCAGCTGCTCCCAATACTGAGGTTAGAAAAGATCTGTGAATGAAGAAGGATTTTTAATTTGTCTAATGCTGTCCCACCCCCGACCCCTGCCTTTTTAAAAGTAAATGAATAGGCCTCAAAATGGTAAAGAAATCAGAATAGGGAGGAGGTGCAATGTGTCCCTGGCACCCCTGCCAGCTAGGAGAACACTGTACAGGAGTGTGTGGGTCCCAGGAAGGGTATGGGGGTGTGGTGAGTCTCTGGGGGCCTTGCCTCCTACAGGGTCCTGCTCCAGAAATTCCTTCCCTGCATGGTGGATCTCGGGAGATGGGGGCATGTTCGTCTTCACCTTCTGCTCCCTCCACTCCATATGCCTATGACACCTGCACTGGGTGCAAGAGCAGCGCCAGGGTGAGAAACCAGGATATCAGTGAGGAAGGCCATCCCAAGAGGCCCACTAGCACCGTGAGTGGTGCTGGATCTGCCAGGTTTGACTCCAGAGTGGCCCAGGAAGGGCCCTTAGGGAGATGTGGACAGTGCTGCCATGCAGGCTGAGCTTGTCCTCTCTGTGTTTATCACACTTGGTTCTCACTCAGGTAAAGCTCACAGAGGAAGTCTTCATTGCAGCTCTGGAGATGAGGCACCATGGTTCAGTCTAGCTGGGAGGCTTGGCCAGCATGGCTGGGGCACGGGCACCAAGTCTCCAACCAGTGTCTAGATCTGGGACCATCAGTCTGGGACCATCGTTTCTGAATCTTGCGCTGCCAGCAAGCCAGGGGACCTTGCTTGGGGACATAGATCTGTGTATGTTCAGACATCCAGGGGCCTCTTGGAGTCTTTTACTCAGGGCCTAGGCTTGGCTGTGTTTTCCTTGATTGGCCCCTAAACTGTCCTCAGGAGCTGTTCCTATAGCTGCAGGTCACCCTGAGGGAAAGACCCTAGCTGAGCTGCTCCCTACTGGCCCTGGGGGCTCACTTGAAAGGGCATGTATCACTTGCAAACTAAGGTGGCCCTGCCCGGAGCCTCCTCCCTGGCCAGCCGTGGGGAGCTCAAGAGATTCTTTCCTGGGACATCCACATCAGAGAGCAGGGCTGATGTTCTAGGGAGGACCAGACCCACGGGCCAGCGCTCAAGTCTGAGTCTCCCCTGCCAGCTCCAAGTGCCCTTCTGCTCTGCTTGAACTGTGTCCAGAATCAGTGGGGGGAGGCAGTTCTGGCTTTGTTCTGTTCCTGTCCTAGTTGCACCGTCCCTATCACCTCTGCTTCTGGAGGGACTGCACCCCACTGGAAGGTCTAAATTCAGAGCACAGCAGCTCCCTCTTATCCAGGCTTCACTTTTAGTCACCTGTGCTCAGTGGAGCCCTGAAAATGGAAAATTCTTGGAATAAACATGTACATTTTAAATTGTGTGCAGGTCTTCTGAGTAGTGATAGCATGTCTCGTGATCCATTGCATGGTATGTGGGGATATGAGTTAGCTGTTTGCCTGGTGTAGCCACAGGATATGAGCTGCCCACCTGTGAGTTACTTAGATGCCTTTGTTATCAGATGGAGAAACTATAGCACACGTGGGGTCTTTGACTGAGGCCCCTGTGGACCGGGGCTACCGTGTGTCCTGGCTGTGGCTTTCTGAAGCAAGAGTGCCAGCCTGGGTGTGAGCAGGATGCTGACACACAAGGAATTCAGTGCTGGGCACCTCCTGCATCCTCCACAGTATACCTACCCTATGGGATGGGTGCTGTGCTAATCCCACCCTGGACGTGGACCTGACCCCACAGCTGTTATGGCAGAGCTGGGTTTAAGTCCACTCTGGGGAAGGGTGTTCCAAATGAAGGACAACAATAGGTTTGCTGTGCAGAATTCAGGACACCCAGATAAATTTCAAATTCAAATCAATACTGTTTCTTAGTATGGTGTAGTTCGTGGGGTTTATTCATACTAGAAAGAAGGACCTGTTATTTTGAACTTTGAGCTTCCTGGGTTTCCGGTAATGTCTTCGCTGGGTCTGGTAACCCTGCTCCAGGGACCCTTGTGGGTTCTTGGGTCTGGGTTCGAGGACACATGGTTAAGGGTTGGCAGGCAGGTTCTGGAGCCGCCCCCTTCCTCACTGAAGGCACAGCTTAGGTTTTACGAGGACAGAGACACTGTAAAGCGGTGCATTAAAGCCACAAGTGGATGACCTTTCTTTGCTCCTTTTCTGTCAGGAGCAGCTTAAACAACTCCTGCTTCCACCCTCTCCTTCCAGAAATCACCCTGACCTCTCCTAAGGCAGGGAGTCAGCTCTCCTCCCCACAGCCTCCGAAGAGCTACCAAGGAAGGCCACTTTCCTTCGGTCTTGGGTGGCCTCAGCTGCTATGGGGAGGGAATGAACCCCAGGAAAGGGTACCACCTGAGCATAGCATGGTCGGAGATCTGTGGACTAGG